GCTTGTCGGATTTGTAGTATTTGCAAGAGCTGCTTTGGCAACTATGGAATGTTACTATCTGACTATCTAGATTTCGTGGCAGTGTTTTTGATGACAACAATTTTTGACTCCAATCCGATGGTATGATCATGGAGTGAAATGTAGGAGGTGTTTTGCGCAAGGGGCCCGTTTCATGCGACGTTAATCTCCCCGTGTCGGGAACGCATGTGTTTCACGTGTAGTGGCTGCAAACTCGCGGACACTCTCGCCCAGAAAGAATGATTGCGGTTTTCTACTGAGATGAGGCCAAATCATATCATCCTTGACAACAGGTGCTGTTCATGAAAGACGAAGGGATGGATTCCTGCCATGGTGATTTCCAGGTGAGGCCTTTGGTGACGGTTACAATTTTCCAGCAGGTACACTCATCAATCATGTCATTTGCAATCACCCTGAAATACATTCAGCATGCCATTCAGCATGCCATTCAGCGGCCCTAGCGACCCACATTTCAGCATGTCATCATGGTCATGGAGTCGCCAAACCAGAACCAGGTCAAAATTGGGTCTGGAAATCAGATTCTCATAGAATTTCCATATATATCATATATGAAAGGAATGTCAGAGAGGTTTCACCATGAGATTTGTGGGTATCCTATCAGACAAACCCAATTTGAATTGGGAAGCTAAAAAAGTGGGGATGTTTGACACCAAACATTACCAAACTTTGGCATGGCCTTTGTAGATCAATACGGAAATGTCAAAGCTTGCAGGGCATGTGTCAGTTGCTGAGCGTTGAAAAAAACAGCCATTTTGGCCACAAGGAGGCTGATGTGACACTGTTGCATATACAGAGACTGTATGTATTCACACAATTTCACAAAGCAATCGCGCTTAGGACATGTCTTGTGCAAGATACATGCTTAGTCATTCTATAGCATTTTGACGACCTTCATGCTTACCAACATTTTTACAACAACTGGGTGCAGGCTGTGCATGCGCCATATTTGCAACAGTATGAGTCTTTGTGGATTCTCATTGAAGATGTCAGTCACGTTGTTATTCTATGACGCGGGAAAGCCGCGGGTCGCTGTGCAGCCAACACCCCGGAACTCAACGCAGAGTGTCTCAGCCTTGTTCGCCTTCGGCCCCGCCATGGAAGGGCCTCAAAAAAGGCGATTCGTCCTTCAGCGCTGGGATGGAGCGCGGTTGGAGATAATGACCGGTCCTTCAGTAGACCAGGGTTCATTACTCTTCGAGACGGTTAGGACCAGCCGATCAACACGTATCAACATGTAACATTGGGTTAAGCATGGTTAAGCTTGAATGGTTTATGTTTTGCTCGTGACTCGTGACACTAAACCACCTAGATCGCTTTGCTCCTTGTCAAACATTCTTTTCGCACTATTTTATCAGCTTTTTGCATACTGTTGTCATATATGTTGTCATTGTTGTCATTGTCAGTTGGATTTCTGAGGGCACTCCACATGCTGCAATCTTTTGTGTTGGAAACCGTGCTGTGTATTGTGAACGATGCTTTGTACAGAACCAGTTTAATCATGTCCAACCACTGACCCGTTTATTCCTGGCTCCTGTCGGTGAGGACACAGTGGCAGCTCCCTTTCTGTCGCATCAAGCATGGTGACCAGGTCATCTTTGCAACCACTGACCTGAGAGATATTGACAAGGGAGCGCAAGGCCAGAGGCTGAAGTCGATGGGTAACCTGAGTTGAGAGTTGGTCCCTCACTTCCAATGTGTTGCTCACCTACAAGTTGCATCGTCACCAGAATCCTCACATCATGCTGATTCCAAGTCCAGTCCACACCCGCATCCTCAACATATCATAGTAGCAGTGTTCGTGAATCATATCCGAGTTGAGCTGTCGGTGTGATGTAGTGTCTTTAAAGACTTGGTACTTACGTTATTGAGTGTTGACCTGGCTGGGCGGCATCTGGGGTAAAGAATTCAACAAAAACAACCATGCACCATCTTTTGTTTGCACATTCAAATCAAAGAGATTGTTTTTACATGTTGTTGCTGCCCATGTTTTCTGCATCTGCAGGATTCTTCAGGCATGTTTATATAGCACGTGTAGCATTCAATCAGGTTCAGTATTGCATGGCAATGCCCAGTCGATTGCTCTTTGCTACCAGGAGATGTGATCCTCACCGTGGAATTAGATGACACCGCGAAGGATTTGACAGAGGATGAGGTGCGGAAGAAGATCTTTGGCTTTGTCCATTTTGATCCATTGCAGGTACCTACCATATATAAGGCCTATATAAGGCTTATGTAAGGGAATATCCCAACAACATTTGGCCAGAAATATGGTGCAGTACCTCCATTTTAGGATCCTGAAATTCCCATTGATTTGATGAACATGGGAATTTGGGGTGCCTGCAGTACGCTTTTGACAAAGACAAAAGCAGCATCTTTCGGATAACCACAGCAACCTGTGCACTTGGATGCGCATCCCAAAAAAATATTATCCAATGGTCGCTATGGGGTAAAATTCCAAATTTTCTGGGTAAGCTTTACCAAGTATCGTAAATGATGAGTACCGTAGCCATCAAAATAACTGGTACCAATTTGGTCTAGGTAGATGATGGGACTGTGCCAGGCCAGGGCACTCCCATCGTGCGTGAGAGTCGCCATGGGATTCCAAGAAGAAGGGATGCCACAGGATGCCACCCAGGCAGAAGGGAGCGGATGACAGCGTGAGGGTCTGGAAAAAGCCAGTGAAAATCATGGAAGATCCACATTTCTTTCGAAGAATTGGTGATTTTTCACCACAAATTGGGGTGTGATGAACATAAAACCAGCCATTCCATGGGAAGATATTGGAAAACACTTGATATGACATTTGGGTTTGTGCTTTAAAACGGGTTGAATACCCATGAACTATGCTATTCCAGGAAGAAGACTATTCATAATCAAATTCTTGGAATACCCTACTTTCAAGAAACCCCATCTTGTTATTGGTCCATTCAAGTACCCAAAATGGATCCTGATATCAGATATCCCTCATACTTCGACCTTTGGCCTGACATACCTCCAACTTGGGTATCTCAATTTTTCTCTGATATTGGGTGTGCGCATTTCGTGGTGTTGGAGGGTCTGAAGAGGGGGGATACCTGTGGGTGATTTTCTGATTGCAGGCTCATGTCGCTATTAGAAAATGCGGACCTGTATCCACCTTTTCTTGTTGCCAAGTGTTAAGGGGGAAACGTGGAATGCCAGATCCTAATCAACATACTTGACGTCTCCATAGGATGCATATGGAGCTTAGTCTCTCACACTGAGACCTGATCACCTGTCGTCACGCCTGCAAGTACATAGAGACCGTGCGTCTCTATAGAGACCGTGAGTCTCTGTGAACTTAGATTAGCTTGACATATGAACTTGCTTTATATGGCTGCATTTTGAGGGAAATGAAGTGAAGTGTTCTTCTGGAAGCATTCAGGCGACTTGAATGTATTCTGGCATGTTCCAGCAAACTTGGGGTTGCCAGAAGACAGGCAAAAAATTGTGCATGTTAACAAAGAAATTGTGGTGATGCAAGGGATGAAGTTCTCAAAACGCAGCGCGGATGCAAAGAAATTGTTCGAGCGAGGTGTGCCCTCTCGAGCAGGTAGATTTATCAGTTTGAATTGTTTTTTCATTTTTGGCTGCCATAGATGCCTTTGGGGCTACATTGGCAGGAACCTGTACCCGGTAGCGTTGTGCCGTGAGTGCACTTCAAGTGTTCCATGCAAGTTCTCGAAGATGGTAAGAATCTGCGGATAATGGACTCGGATAAAAATGATGGCGCACAGATGAGTTGGTGCGCGAATCGTTTTGGATTCTGTTCTTTAGTTCCAAACTTGCAATAGATGTGATTTTGGTTCTTGTGTTTGTTGGTGTATGTTGGTGTCGTATTTTTGTTGTATTTTTTCCCTTGCTGGTGCAGTTGCACACGGGGAAAGTCCAAGACCACTTTGCCATGGAGCTAGAACATTTATTCATCTCCCTAGCCAAGATTTTGAAATCGGAGGGGGGGGGACTCATTTTGCAATTGTTTTTTGGATTTCTTTTCTTTGGTAGGTTGGTCCAAGCTGTTGATTTACACTGATTTTCCACTACCTCTCCTTTTCCTTTCCTCTCGTCTCCTCTCCTTCCACTCCTCCACACCTCCAAAATCACAAAAAATGGACGGGCAGCGCCATAGCGCCTCGCTTAAAACCAGTGATTTTGAGCAAGGCAAACGCATTTTGGGCAAGGCAAAACTTTGCGCCAAACTGAATTGGGCACCGCCTAGCTTAAAACCATTGGTTTTAAGCAAGGCAGTCAGTTGTGCTGTTTGGGAAGGTTTGGAGGGGAGAAGAGAGGAAATTACTGAAAAGTAGCCAGGACTCACCACACTCTAGAACTGCAGGCACAGGTTTGGCGTGGCTTTGGATCAAGTTTCAGATGAAAGGCGGTGGCCGAAATGCGTGGTTGGGACAACTACAAGAAGTCCTACCCCCCCACCCCCCTCCCCCTTGGGTCCAGGGGGATGTATTTATTAAGTTGAGTTGCATGGCATATTTTGCATCAGGACGTGCAGAGATTGACTCATGTACCATTCTGTCGACAAAGCTTGGTTCATTCCTCTGCCCAGGAAACGGCATAGAAACAAAGATCAAACCAACAAGCTTGCGACAACCGCTAGTGGTGGGAGCACTTGATGAAGATGACTATGTCATGTCCTAAGCTGATTTCTGGCTTAAAGATCACCTTGGACTTGCATCAAAAAATGGTTTCACACTGGGCAAAGGAGTGGAAAACCAAAACTCAGACTTATGAAACGACCAAAGTCTTTTTCTGCGCCACGACGCTTCAGCAGACAACCAAGAAGGCCATGCCAAGATAATATGGGGATGGGTCAATACCTATTATTACCATATTTGGGGGAATAACCATCTATTCACATATACCTAGGGTACCAGGGTTTTGACCAATAATTAACCATATTTGCTTAGTTTTCATTCCAGACTTGGTTCAACGGAGACCTTGTAGGATCCCCATGATTTTGATGAGAAAAACCTATTCCATTGGTTCCTGGAAGATGTTCCCAAAATGGCGCGCGGTGGGCCCGGCTTCCAAGCAGACATAAGCAGAGCTTCAGGGGGCTTGGCACTCTGAAACCGTATGGGAATGCACAATGACGGGCCATAGCTACCAGCTATATGAGGTATTACCCGCCATTGTCCATGATGTTGGCGAGGTTAATTCTTCATGGGATTAATACATATTAATACTTCATTAGCTGGTTATAACTGATCTGATTTGATTGTGACTACCTCCATAGGTGGTTGGTGGTTTGGAACATTTTTTATTTTCCATAATATATGGGATATATGGGATAATCCTTCCCATTGACTTTCATATTTTTCAAGATGGTTAAAACCACCAACCAGATAGGTTGGGGAAAAACAACTGCAGTTTTTCTGGTGGGTTTTTGCCGAGCTGATACCACTGGTCCTGGGAGGTCCACCAACTATTTGTGGCCTCCCGTAAAACCCCGACATTTTTAGAGGAGATGTGGACTTGATTCACTACGTCGTGAACTAAAAGAGATGTGGTTTTTCCATGGTTTTTCCTTGGAATATGATCTAAAGTAATGGATTTTCCATATCAATGTTTAGTTTACCCTTTGGTTATTTAACATAGCCATGGAAAATCACCATTTTTAATAGGTAAACCCAGGTAAACCATCTTTAAATGGGCCATCTATACCATGGCAAACTGTTAGTCATAACCAGATGGTACTAATTCAATGTTGCTGCTGCTGGAATGGTTTTTGTATGTTTTTGTCTCCCTGAAGTCCAGCTTCTTAAATCGGGAAACCTAGACCCTCATTACGTCATAAACCCATACTAATACAAATCGGTGCAGTGCAAACACCCCTAAAAATTCCAACATATGTTCCAGCATTTTCTCTCTTTTTTGGGTCAAGGTATTCACATTATCAACCCAACCAACTCCTAGTTATCCTCCGGTTTGCTCAAACATGGCGTGCTGGACAATCCCCTATAGATGGAGGTTTATGGCTGGGAAGTTCATCAAAAAAAAATGGGGATTTTTCAGCACGCCACGTTTGAGCAAACCGGAGGATACCATGTATCGATTACCCTCTGGTAAACGTTAACAAAAAGCTATGGAAAATCACCATGCTATCAATGGGTAGTCATCCACTATTTCTATGGTCATTTTCAATAGCTAAGTTAGAACTTAGATGGGTAAATCCACTATTTCAATGGGTAAATCCAGTATTTCAATGGGTAAATCCACTATTTCAATGGGTAAATGGAGGTTTCTATGGTAGTTAGTTTACCAGAGGGTACCCCCAGTGATGTTTCCATGGGACCGGTGTTCATCGCCGCCAGCGATCCGCCATTGAGGCTCCTACCTCCTGCAGCACTTGGGGCGCTCTCGGGGCTGGTGGTTGTGGTCTTGCTGCAGTCCAACACGCAGGAGAAGCCATGGGACCGGTGGGGTAAACCGTTGAAGGGACGTGTGAAGTTACTACTTTTTAGAGAAATAATGGTGATTTTATGTGATTTTTAGATTGGTTTAGTGGGATGAAAAATTGGATAAAAAGCTATCCAAATTGGTATTCATAACTTACTCATAGCTAGTTAATGTTCAACTGTTGGGTCTGTTGGGTCTATGATAGATATATCTATATAATTATCTATACAGTTCATGGATTAACGTTCTCTAATAAACTCAATGAAGCAACAAACATCATTGGGGGCACCACGTTGTAGGACCAGAGGATGTGCATGGAGAATTGCTGTACAGGATAGGATGAGATTCGACCATTTGGGTATGGATCAATACCTATTAATACCATTTTTAGGGGGATGAACATCCATAAATCCCAGCTATTTTGATGTGAACTACAGGGGTACACGGTTTTGACACACTGCCATGTAAGACTTTGTGGACTGGGATGGGGATCTTCCGGGATTGTTCTGAGTTTTGCCATGTGATTCTCTGACTTACAGGTTTCACCCCAGCTGAGTTTTGCACATTTTTTCATCAATTTGCAATCTTCTTCTGGAGCGCGCTTGGATGCGTAGGAGAGACTTTTCAACACACTACAACCTGGCGTGCTGACGCAACTTTGCTGCAGACTTTCGCGTGAGTCCGGGATGAGGTTGTCAGCTTCTTCGCTTCACCACACCAATCCACACCATGCTTGGACAAAAATCATACGGCAGTGTGTCAAAACCTTGTACCCCTGTAGTTCACATCAAAATAGCTGGGATTTATGGATGTTCATCCCCCTAAAAATGGTATTAATAGGTATTGATCCATACCCATACCTTGGCCAGGACAAAGGATGCTAGAACAGTTTATAGCAGTTTTTGAACTGCGTCACTTCCATCTACAGGGCACGTCACATGGCAAAACTTAAGGCGGACGGCTGAGACTGTGCGAGCTGAAGTGACTCAGGCAGGGAGCAGGGATTGGTAAGGCATATTTTAGGGAATTTTGATGGATTTTGAAGACAATGGTTCATTGATGTTGTTTATTTATATCTGACTGATATTCTTTATATAACTGGTACAATCCACTTGTTTGGGGAAGCAAAAATCATTGGAATTGCTTCAGATGGTCCTTACACTGGGGCTGGCCTTGCGGCACAGCCCAAGGCTCTGGCTGGTCAAAATTGGGCTACGACTCTTTGGAATCCATGATGAATAAGAACTTAAATGAGCACAGTAATGTTAGTAAATCAATAGTAAACCATCTCCAATGACTTACCATTTTTGTTGTAAACCATCAACTGATAGGTGGTTTACTCTTGCTTTACTAACAAAGGTGTGTTTTTCTTGGGGTCGCTGTTCTTGTCGACCCATGTCCAATGCTGGTATTCAGATCGCTGACCAGGCCGGAACCTCCAATGTTCAAGCCAAGGTCGAAGCGTCCCTTGGATTGCAATTGAGGTGAATGCAGCTGTAGGGTTCAATTCAAACAAACAGACCAAGTTCAGAAGATGTAATAAAGAGCATCTCAATGAAATGCATCAAAATGCTAGAATCTAAACACTCTTTAATAAACACTCTGGAAAAATACAGACATGTACACATGCACACTATAAAATACTATAAATATCATGATTCCAGCTGCAACACAGTGTTTCATGTTGTTCCACACTTCTTGCAGCTGAGGCCCAGCCCTGCAGTTGTGGCACCACCCTCCGTGACAGCTCCAACGGCAGTGGCCCCTGTGGCACCGGTGCCGGTGCCCGAGGCAGCTCCAAAAGCAGAGGCCACAGCTGCGGACGATCTTGGAATGAAGATGTTTGTTTGGAGATGGGTTCATAATATTTCCATGATGGAGATTTCCTATATGACGTTATTTCATAATGACATTAATTGACATTTAATAATTATATGATTATATATGATATTATATGTATATAACATTGCATACAACATACGTTTCTGTTATTTTTTCCCATATACTGCATTATTTACAAACATGTTTGGCAAAGACCTGAGGGATGCCATCTATGGAGACAGGTCAAAGACACCTCGGGTCTTACACCCTCCTCCGATGAAGAACGTCGCGTGCTGGATGTGGTGAAGAAGAGGGCTGGAGTGTACAAAGATAAGGATGCGCATCCGGAATTTGCATCAGTTGTGCTCCTTACAGCTGCAAACTATGCATATTTTTCCATTTACAACAATTGGCGTTGCAATGCAGAGAGGCATGGTTTGGATTGGGCTGTGATAGCCAATGATGACAAAGCCTTTGAAGAATTGGGACCAGACAGAGGTTTGCTGGCGATTGGAGAGAAAGTAAGTGGAATGAATGGATGGGGCAGCGCCAAACTGGACAGCGTTGGACGGAACAAGATGTTTATGGTGTTGACCATCATGAGGATAGCAGATCTTGGAGTTGTGTTCACTGATGCCGACAACATGTTTCTTGGAGATCCATTTGCACAAGGGGTCCATTTGGGAGATCTGATTCGCAGTGGTAAGTATGACTATGTCTACCAAGAGGAACTGGCCAAGGCCCCAGCAAAAGATCACGTGGTGCCTGGTGATGGTGGCAACACTGGTTTTTTCTATGCGACGCCACGCAACAACAAGAAGATGATTTCCTTCTTCACGGATGTTGTTGCAGAGGTCGATCGGCAGCGAGAGGATGCTTTCCGTAAATCCGGCGAACGACTGGGTGCTGATCAGCCCATCTTCTGGCAAGTCATGCAGAAGCTGCGAAGCACACAGGGCCAAACTGGGCCAGGAGGATTCAAATGTGTGCGACTCTGCAAACATAATCCCACCTGCAAAGCTGTTGCAGAAGAAACCTTGAATTATTGTTCGATGAATCCATTTCTGCATCCAACAGGATGGGAAGAGCCACCTAGTGGCTTGGTCACGTATCATGCCAACTATGCTGCCAACGAGGCGAAGATTGACAAGTTGAAGAAAGCTGGGGTTTGGGATGCGTGGTCAACTGAGGAGAAGAAGTGTGTCTTGGCTTGGCATACCCTCTAATTGTCATAGTTGTTGGATGTTGTGGGTATTTCTTTGGGTCCATTCTGAGGAAGCGTGTGATCCCGAGCAAACAGAAATCTCTGTTTCATGATACTTGTAGAAGAAAATAATGGGCTCAGGGTCCATTTTTGGCCACACAGTTAAATCCAAACCGGAGAGGCAGGGATGTTCACTTTGTTGGTCTCAAAGTTGATTCCACCAAACACGGTCTTGTCAACAAATTGGAGCTTCAGTTAGATATTCTCAATCGTTGCAGTATACAACTACATATAACTACACATGTGAAATTGGACGTAAATCAGAAAAAAGTGCCAAAGGCATTTTCAAAGTCACTTTCATGAGCTGCTGTTGAACGTGGCCCTGACTTCAAGGCATAGTAAAAGATCCACAGTCGCAACTACTCACCGTGGACGCAGATGAAGAACGTCGCGTGCTGGATGTGGTGAAGAAGAGGGCTGGAGTGTACAAAGATAAGGATGCGCATCCGGAATTTGCATCAGTTGTGCTCCTTACAGCTGCAAACTATGCATATTTTTCCATTTACAACAATTGGCGTTGCAATGCAGAGAGGCATGGTTTGGATTGGGCTGTGATAGCCAATGATGACAAAGCCTTTGAAGAATTGGGACCAGACAGAGGTTTGCTGGCGATTGGAGAGAAAGTAAGTGGAATGAATGGATGGGGCAGCGCCAAACTGGACAGCGTTGGACGGAACAAGATGTTTATGGTGTTGACCATCATGAGGATAGCAGATCTTGGAGTTGTGTTCACTGATGCCGACAACATGTTTCTTGGAGATCCATTTGCACAAGGGGTCCATTTGGGAGATCTGATTCGCAGTGGTAAGTATGACTATGTCTACCAAGAGGAACTGGCCAAGGCCCCAGCAAAAGATCACGTGGTGCCTGGTGATGGTGGCAACACTGGTTTTTTCTACGCGACGCCACGCAACAACAAGAAGATGATTTCCTTCTTCACGGATGTTGTTGCAGAGGTCGATAGGCAGCGAGAGGATGCTTTCCGGCGCTTCGGCGAACGCTTGGGTGCTGATCAGCCCATCTTCTGGCAAGTCATGCAGAAGCTGCGAAGCACAGGCTTGGAGTTACCAGCGTAGCACTATACTCTGGATGGTTAGGTTTCAGATCCTGTGATTAGCCAGCCATTGGGGGCGCATCCCAATTTTTTAGTGGTTAGTAAGTTAACCAATATTATGTGTATATATTTATATTATGTTATATGTATGTAGGTTTATATTATACACATTGAGGTGTATCCAACATACCGCTGGCTTGTAATATGGTTATCACATGCTGCTAGCCACTTCCTGATCTGACTTTTTGGTGCACATCCAAGTTGACCCCTGGCGCCGCAGGTGGCAAAGTGGGCCCTGGAAGTTTCAGATGCGTCCATTTGTGCAGCAGCACAGCTACCTGCGAGGCTTCTCAGGAAGATACCATGAGGCCAGAAGATACCATATCACGTACAGCTTTTGAATAGGGAAAAAACATGGTCCAAAAATGGAGGATGTTAAAACAAATGGTCAGTTTTGGTAAAGTTTTGGCGATTGATGGTCAGTTTTGGTGATTTTAGTAAACTATCAAAGTGATACTCTGGGAAAACAAGTGAGTGTGTCTCAAGGTCATTTTGACGGTTTCTCATCACATGTTCACCATCAAAACATGTCATTTGGGATATACCCCATTTTCAGACAAAGCCATGTCCATCATTCAGTGGTTAAGCGCTTCTTGTTGATGGTTAAATCCCCCATGTTTGATTTGATGCTTGAATTGCCATTTAAAAATTTATGACTCTAATTTTGATGGTTAAGTTATATGACTAAGTTCTTATGGATAATTTCCCATTTATCACAATTTTCCACATTATCTTACTGGTGCTTAGTAGGGAATTTTCGGGAATGATCCACTGGCTAACTATCAATAATCATACCAGCAACCCCCAGCAACCCATCCATTCCCTGCGTTTAGCACCAGTAAGTTATTTGTCGAGCCTTCCGACATGTTGCGACCAGGTACTGCTCCATGGATCCCTTCATGCATCCAACGGGCTGGGAGACTCCTCCCGAGGCGACCCAAATCATTAGTTGCCGGAGAAGGGAATGATCTATATATAGTAATCCCCCGAACGCATAGAAAAGGATAGAAAAGGATAGAACAGATTCAGTTTTCCATCTTGGGAAGTTACATCTATGATAGGAAAGTCATTTTTGATGTTACTTTCCTATCATTTTGGGGCTTGCCCAAAAGAGGAAACCATGATGTTGACCTTTCCCACATGGGTAGAAGGAGATTCCAAACCTTGACTCCAGGGGAGATGAATTGAGCACCCAGATTGGACTGTCCATGATGGAAGTGACTAAAGTGATGAAAAAAACCTCGCGCCGCGACTCAGTTTTGATGAGTTTTGATGTTTTCAAGGATCTCTATATGTGCAACTTGCAACTTGATCCCTTTAACATTTTTTATCATATGTTTATCAGATATATCATATCAGGAGCGCAGCTTTATCAATTTGTGCAGCTTAAGCCGCGGACGTCAGGAGCGCGTCACATATCACGCCAACTACGCTGCCAACATGGACAAGATTGCCAAGCTCCAGAAGGTGAAATCTTTGGCCTTTGGGCCGATGGGGGCAGTGTTTTGTGCCTACTAAAAACATTGAAAAAACCAACAAAACATACGCGGATGTGAACTATCAGCAATAATTGAGATAGATGACTCTAAAAATGGGCTGTGTAACCTTGGTTTATGGCAAGTATTACAATTCTGAAACATGACAAAACATGCTTCGTGTTCCACAGTTGTTCCACAAACCCTGATGTTTTTCAGAGCCTGTCATCTCACATTGACATCAATTCACAGACGCGAGATAGGTCAGTGAAGCAAGACTCGCTGTTCCTCCTTTTTGGACCTTTCTCATGTGGTAAAAGCCAATAATTAATTAACATCCCCAGTCAACAAGCATTTGGAGTCATTTTACATCATCCCAATGCGGGGCATACCCATAGTAAACTTCATTTAGGGATGGTTTATGATTGAGTTAACCCATCTATGACTGGATTTCTCAGCATTGCTGTGCTATTTTCCTTCACCGTTTGGCACTGATATGACATGTCTGGCTCCGGTTTTGGCATAGTCTCCCATCATTGCAGGGTACACCTTGGTTGAGTAGGCCGTTTCTTTTACGTTGTTTTTTCCCCTAGATGGAAGGAATTAGAATCAACTAGAAAACAATCCCTCTCTCCAAATGTTCAATAACCCCCAAACGAAACCCCTGTGGAAGGTACTGAATCTATACAGTAATTGAGCCACACAATTTGGGGGGTGGTATTCCATATCGTCCAAATCATTCCATTATTCCACCACGTTTCAATTATTTCTCACTATATCCCCACTATATCCCCCCACATCATTTCTATAATATTGCCAGGGAATGAGATTGAGTCATTAAATATCAAACTATACATCAACCAGGCTACATCTCATATGTAATAATTGATAAGAGCTGTATATTCCCATTTACACTTGGGTAATCTGGGAAACTTTTCACATCAGCCACCAACAAAAATGACTGCGTCCCGCACACCTAACCTGCCAGGCAGGTGTTTGGGACGCCTGGTCTGAACAGTCCAAGGGATGCAAAGGCAGCGCTGAAGGGGAAGTGGTCACTTGGCTGTTGGGGATTTACCCGTTGGGATGATACCCATTACAAGGTGGTGCCCCCCCACTTATAAATAGGTTATAATCCCCATGAAAACTATAGATATATCACCTATAAACCATAGTGAAATTGGACTTATAAACCAACTTAGCTAACTATGGGGCACCACCCTGTAGATTAGATGGGATGGTCTGAAAAATGGGAAATTGATCTATAGATGGGGGTTTCAATGGGAAAATCATCTATAAATGAAGGTTTACACGCAAGTACCATAGGGTAAACTAACGTAGATGTGGAAAACCCACCATTTGTAGTGAAAAGCAGCTTTCGGTTTTCCACATTTACCCTGGGGTAATCGTCATGTGAACTTGACCTTCAAGAATGATTGACATTGGCACTTCAAATGGATTTACCCTCTGGTAAACGTTTACATAGCTATGGAAAATCACAATCTTTAATGGTAAGTCAACTATTTTTATGGGCCATTTTTAATAGCTATGTTAAATTACCAGAGGGTAAATGTTGAGTGATACCATTTCATGGGGATGTAGCGTGATACAATGGAATATGTAGGCGATAGTATGAGATGGTATTGTCTGGAAATGAATCGGATACACGAAATGATAGCCGATGAAATTGAGGAACATGATGACCATCAACATTTTTGCGAACCTTGTTTTCAGACAAACTCAGACAAAGAGTGTGCTCACTTGTTTTCAAGCTGACCATTCAGTGGTCATTCTGATGATTCAATGATTCCCAAGATGCTGGGAGCATTGAGCAGTTTCAACACAGTGGCGTTGCTTGATGATTTGTTTGGACGTTACCCTCTGGTTATTTAACATAGCCATGGAAAATGGTCCATTTATTATAGATGGTTTACCTATTGAAAATGGTGATTTTCCATGGCTATATTAAATAACCAGATGGTAGTAAGCTACCTTTAATAGATTTGGGGATTAAATAACACCATCCGTGAACTCGATTCGTAAGGAATCCCATTACATCCCCGAATCTAATCACCATGACTCACCATTAAACTCCGGGGAGGTCCCCATTCCAGGGATGTGCAATCCATTGATACCCTCTGGTTATGTCAAAATAGCTATTGAAAATGGCCCAGTCGAAATAGTGGATTTACCCATTGAAACTGGTGATTTTCCATAGTTTTTTGTATGTTTACCAGAGGGTATTCAATGAAATGGGTATGGGTCAATACCTATAGATACATTTTTAGTGGGATGAACATCCATTTACCAGCTATTTTGGGGTTCACTAGGTACCAGGGTTTTGACCCATCCCCAAATGGTTGCATGTGTTTCTGCAGAAGCAAAGGCCAAGGTGGCGGTTACCACCATCGACGATGCACCTACCAAAGACATGGAGCCAGTGTTGCTTGACTTTCAAACGGTGCAGGATGGAACTTCAAAAAGTGTTTCGGGAATCAAAACCATGAAATATATGGGGATTTAACAAGTTAAAAATGATCCGAAATGATGTAAGTGGGGATTGCGAAAAATCATTTAAACCATCTTTTGGGGGAATGAAGATCCACTTAAATCCTGCCTATTTTGATGTGAACGCCACAGATCTTTTGGCTGACTCATGGGGTGCCACTGGATGCCACCCGAATGGCCTGAAATTGGACACCTCAAACCATTTTTCAAAAAATCCCCTCAAAAATATAGAGGAAAGTAATATATCCCACTAAACTATAGTGGCTTAATTTACTTTTCTATCTTTTTGGGGGCTTACGCAAGATATCATGTCGCGATTCTCAAAAAGAAACCGGTTTGATCAGACGCGAGGCTCCAATGCCTGCGGCTCACAAGCCCTCAGATCACCACGCTGAAATATCCCTCGGATGCTGAAGCACACTTTGAGGAGCTGCGGAAGGTTCTCGGCTGGTCATTTTCCTCATTTTCCCACCTAAAAACTGGAGAAACCATGGCAAAAAGATGGCACCATGAGGTCTAAATTCAAGCAGTTTATGCGAATATTCTATATGGATATCATTGGAAACATATCTGAGGTTTTGAGATGTGACATTTGAATCATCCAACGTTGGTACAATTTGTACTTTTAATATCTTTTAATGAGGGACACAGTATAAATCAAGCAACACATTTTAGGGGGATATTCTATGAGTTATTTATGTGATTTGATATTGCTGGATATACCTACATTTGATGACATGTAAGTTGAGGAAATAGTGAGTTTCAACTCCTGGCTGCTAAGCATAATTACTGGTGATGTTTAACGAGATATGTCAGGGACAGTAACACCAACAGTCTGGATTTGTCTGTTGGGAGGTTTCCCCTCAAATTGAAGGGATCCATGTTTTTATGTTGCGATATTCAAAGGTCAGACATTTCTTCATGGAGAAGGCCAGGTAAGGAACTGATTATGCCATGAAAATGGTGATTAAGCCAAGTGACTGCTTGTGTGTAGTTGGCAGCAACACATGGGTTTTTCACAGAGTGTGATCCTGGCCCTATTGTCAAACTCCAAAATCATTGGTTCAAGTGGCAGCAAGTGTTTCATGCGCATCCACTCAAGATCCTCATCCACCTTCCCCTCTGGTAAACGTTTACATGTAACATAGCAGCTATTGAAAATGGCCCAGTCGAAATAGTGGATTTACCAATTAATTAATAGCATGGTGGATCTTTCCATAGCTTTTTGTTAGCGTTTACCAGGCCGGGTAGCCTCTGGTAACATAGCGAAGTGTAAGATCACCAACGGCAAACATCGAAGTCAATGGGCCCTGGCACAGGTGCTGAGTGAATGGTTTGACTACGCGGCGAAGAAGTTCATGGCTGACATGAAGAATCCGTACCACTGTCCTTTGGAACATTGCTTCGAGTTATACCAATGCAAGTCCCCATAATAGTGGAATGGTAACCCCGTTTATAACCCATTGGATGTAACAAACCCAAAATTGGAAACTTTGGATTTCAATGGGTTGGTTTTGTTAGGGAACATCTACGGTGGAAACCATATTATATATATACATAATGTATTATACATATAATATACATGTATGTATGTATGTATATATGTATATGATATATATGTATATGATATATATATATATATTTATTTAAACATGATATTTACTACTGTATATTCCTGCTTTTCCCATCATTGTCATCGAATTCTAGGATTGACAGCAGTACTGCATTGGGTTGACTTTTCGAGACTGGTTTTGACTGGTATAGTGAACTTGCGTGCCGAGCGCAGAGTACCTCAAAGATCAATGCGCAATTCTTCCAACACATTTCGAATGCTGGGGCTTGGGCAACAGATCCTCATTATTGTGATTTTATGATATCGAAACAATCTCAATGATACATAACAATGATCAACAATCATCAACAGGAAGATACAACAATAATGATCAACAACCATCAACAGCAATCAACAACAATCACATATATCGCTTATCATTATATGGCAGTGTGTCAAAACCTTGTACCCCTGTAGTTCACATCAAAATAGCTGGGATTTATGGATGTTCATCCCCCTAAAAATGGTATGTATAGGTATTGATCCATAGCCATATCATTGTTATTATTATTGTTATTGTTCCTATTGTTTACATGGCAAATCGGGCTTTGCCGATGTCATGCATTGCTCAGGTGGAGAAGGATACTGCGGCCCTTGGATTGAGAATCGCTGGATCAAGCGCTTTCTCGGAGGACCCGCCGCGGGACTCGCCGCTGTGTTTGTTTTAAGACACGGATGACAAGGGAAAACGAACCATGTCATTGTCTTATATTGTCTTAATAGAAAACAAACAATTATATAATTCCCAACAGAGATTCGCATTTTGTTTTCTTCAATTCCTAAGATGTGTGTGAATCTCTCTTGGGAATTAAAGAAAACAAACCATTCTGTTCCACATGGCTGCAACGTGTTTCAACAATCTGAAACATGTTTTACTGAAGATTGTAGAATGTCACCTCAGGATTTCGTTTCCCTCATTATGGGCCATTATGTTACAAATGTACCATGTGTAATTGGTTCATCATTACCCAATACAATTGAATTGCTACTAGCCAACTGGAGCCTTCTCCTCGCTTCTCCTTCTCCTGGGTTGTGCCTGTCGATGCCATGCAAAAAAACTGCCATCCTGTGCAGGCTGGGAAAATCGCAGCGCCGGCACGAGATTGTCAGACATCTTTGGGTCGCTGGGCTGATGACTTTTTTGTTGCAACTTTGATGGTACAACAGAGGATATACCCTCTGGTTATGTAACATAGCCATGGAAAATGGTCCATTTGTAGATGGTTTACCTATTAAAAATAGTGATTTTCCATGGCTATGTTAAATAACCAGATGGTATATCACGATATATGCAGGAAACCTTGCAGAAAATCGAAGGTTTTCCATAATATGGTGAGGCTCAGGGGCCCAAATAAGTATGGAGGGTTAAGCACCAACATGCAGACAGATTTTGCCCTCCAGAATGCAAAGAGTTTCACCACCAATATATGTTTTTTTTCAATGTTTAACCCACAAGCCAGGGGTTATCATGGGCACACATCAAACTCGCGAGTTGATTGGTGGTCTGAAACATGTCGTTTTCCTCAAGTGGGATGGGGATCCCATCATGAAACATAGAAATTGCTCAGGAGAATGTAGAACTTGATCCCAAAAACCTAGCGAGTCGATATGAACATAAGCCAAGCATCATGATCTCATCGTGAACGGCAGTACAACTGGAAGCCATGAGAAGCTCAGGCCCTTTATTCCCATTTTCATGACCTACGTTGACCTTTGGGTTGCCAACGTCTTCGAGTATGTCACCGTGCTCAGCTTTTGGTGAAAAACATCGACACTCTTTGCGCCAAGTCTTATGACATACGCAACAAGCATTCCAATCGTAGCTAAAAAAGGATTTCTCCAACTCCAAGTCTCCCAGACTTGCCTCTTGAGCATTCCATGATTTGGCTGTCCACTGAGGAGAACATGATCGAAGCATTGCGGAAGGCAGTGAGGCGTCTGGTGAATCCCCCAAATCCACTGGTTTTCATCATCATCTTGATTGAACATGGCCATTTGTCATTTGGGGCATCTTCTGTCGCATTTTTAAGGACAGACCCATATCATCCCATATCCATTCATTTGTGAAATCATGTCAAATCCTATTGTTGAGTGTAAAACCCCCTATGTTCATCTAGGTTTGAATAAAGCCACATCTCTTTTCAAAGTCTTTGCATCGCAGAGGGATCTCGGAATTTCCCGGCGAGGCCTGATGTTGCGTACATCACCGTGGTGCAGCACGACACCGGTCTGGTCTCCAGCCGAGAGACATGTCTGGCACTAGCGGTCCAGGTGATGGTGAGTCTGTCTCAATTTCTATGCGGATGAAGCTGGGCCACTGGGGTGCCCCCAACATCATCAAAGTCTCATTGCTTATCATGTTTACTTGCCAATACCCATAGGATCCATGTATGGTATATATGCTAACATTGGGGGTATATTGAGGGTAAATGTTACCATATATAGCATACATGGATCCTATGGGATACTCTATTTGTACCATTCAATACGGCAAGCATTGCTTTGGCAAGGAATGTAGGAGCAGTAGGAGTTTCTAATCCGTTTTTCGGTGTCGGACAGGGTCAACAGGGTGAGTCCAGCGATGCCGATGCCTCAGGAAAAGATCATCAAGATCATGAAGGAGATTCCAAATGCCGCACCCTGAGTTTGAATGGGCGATGTGCGCCAAATTCCTTAATGATCAAGTGGTTAGAGGTAGCTATGGATAGCAATTTCCTACTAAATGGTGAAGCAGCTACTAAGAGTTTCCCAACCACATCATAGTTAAAACGGGGCGCAATCTGCAAGCCCAACCTGTCATGATTCCTGACATCATAGCGTTCACAGAAGACCACCATTGTCATTGATCCTTTGGATCCTTTGGATCCTTTGCTTTTCAATGGCTATGAGTCAAAACTGTGGAGCCCCGAAGCCGCGCTTCGCGCTACAAGATGGCCATGGATCTCCTAGAGACTTGACCTAGCCAGATTCCAGCCAGGCATTGCATGTGTATTTCTCCAAGATGTTTTTTGGGATTGATGGGATTGACTCATTGACCACTACCTGATATTGCCGCCGATCAAGAGCTTGATTTTTATAAATTGGATTTGGATGATTTGGGAGGCAGAGGCAGGTAATTTATGATAATTGGCCGTTTTCATGGGGAGCATAACTAGATAAATTCCTTAGTTTCTTAAAACAAATCCCATAGGATCCATGGTGCTGGTATATTAATGCTAACATTGGGGGTATATTGATGGGATCCATGTTACCATATATAGCAGCACCATGGATCCGTCATGGGAATGTCAGACACAAACCCATGGCCCATATTCCGGTGGAAATCACCTGCAAGCAGCTGAAGGTGCTGGTCTTGAGTGCGGGTGGCTATGGACATGTTCCTATCCCACTCTTCAAACAGCCTGAGGAGACCGGATTTGTTTCTGGATCAGGGTGTGACTGTGTACTAATAGCGTACAACAACTACCATCTGGTTATTTAAGTTACATAGCCATTGAAAATCCATGATAAATGGAGGTTTAGGTTTCTAGCTAGGAAAATCATCTATTTCGATTAGGGCCATCTATACCATGGCTATGTTAGTCATAACCAGAGGCTACTAGCGTATCAAGGTTACTCTGACCGTGGACTGGTTCTTTTCTTGGACTTGCTGAGAGCAAAAAAGCTGCCATTGAACGGAATTGTATCACATATGATAAACCAATAAGCAGTATGTGATAATAATAATAATAGTAGTAATATGTGATACAATCATTGTGATAAGCTGTATTATTGTGTATCTTTACCAATAATAATAGTTATTTAGTGCTTGGCAAACTTGGCAAATGCATCAACAGTTCAGATGTTTGAGACGAGACAAGGAGTTGTTGGGAAAGCGCTTCTTCAAAGCGATGGACAAGAGAGAGTTGCTCACATCCTACATGGGCTTGGACCTTAGCCTCAGAGGGGCCGCATTTCAATTCTCCAAATGCGGGTTTCCAAAGTCATGCAAAATCCCCAGTCGTCACCATGGTTGTTTCAATAACTGACATAGTCTAATGACTTGGGTGATTTGGGGTACCCCTATGACTTAGGAAATCTCCAAATGCATGCGTGTGATGTGGGGTGGAGTGTTGAAGAACCTGTGGTGATGTGTGGTCCATCGGAACCATCGCCGTTTCTGACATTTTCCCAGGTTCTGACCACAATGCCCCTCAGGAGTCTGCAACTTCTTCGGAGGGCATGCTGCTAAGCAAGCATCCAGTAAGTGGCAAGCATCAATGCTCCAAAAAACATTTGAAGCTAGGTTTGCTTAGCACAAGGTACTGCTTGATTAGATCATGCTTTCCTTTGCAATTTATGGCAGCTTCATTCTCTCCCCAAGTTGCAGGACATGAGAAAGAAGATGATCAAAACAGTGAATGAGGAAGCAGAAAAACTGGGAGTGAAGGCTGGGGCTACTGCAACAAGGACTTGCTTGACGTAGCAGTAGTGCCCGTCCTGAATAGTAGTGCTTCATCATACAGTCAGAAATTTGTTTCGGCAGTTGCACTAAGACTCACGTAGAGATGCCTTATCAACTTCCTCAGTGTAGTTTCTTGGTGTTTCCTGCCCCGATTGCTGATAGGTTTGTCTGGAATTGGAGTATATACTCTATTCCACCCCATTGGTCCAAACCTAATGTTCCATAATTTTCCCACATGTTCCCCATTTTTTTGACTGGAGAAATGGTTTTTGAAGTTTCCAAAATCTGGATGCTTACCCTCTGGTAATTTGTTACATAGCTATTGAAAATGGTACATAGAAATCGTTGATTTACCTATTAAAAAACGTGATTTTCCAGTTCGCAAACTGTAAACGTTTACCAGAGGGTAAATCGTATTAAATCCCATTCAATCCCACAAAATCCCATTAAACCATCATAAAATCCCATTTAAATCCCAATGTAAACGTTTACCAGAGGTTAACCCATTTGCGGACAACCCCTGTGAAAACTGGTTTGCTGCTGGATCAAGCAGATCGAGGTTCACACTGGTTTCGGCAGTGCCGATGAGTGGCACAAAGTCGCTGGCAATTCGAAGGCGGTGGGGCGGTGGGGGCACTGCTGTGGGGCCAGGTGCCATGTGGCTTCTGCCAAACCGGGCTTTGGCTGGATAGCTGCTGGGTGTTCAATCATTTTTGATATTGATATGTTATGATATGTTTGGGATGGATTGAACACATTTGAAAACTAGATAATATATTATGCAGATATATATATACCTGGGTTTGTTTAAGGTGATTTGTTATTTTCCCAATGACAAATCCAACATTTGGGGAATCTATAGTGATTATTTTTTATTTTTTGGGCACCCATTGAGCAAATCCAAGTATATGTATGCATATCATGACCCCCAAGAATGGGTATATGACCAATCACCTTAAATGTGATTGGATAGACAATCTCATCCGCCAATTTTCCCCAATCATATTGGATTCCTTATGGTCCCCAGCATGAATAGATCCAATACATTTCCCGACCTCGGTTTCATCTGAAGGGTTTGAACAAACTTCAGAGGAAAGGGATTGTCACCAAACCTGTGACATCTTCTTATGAACGAGTATAATTATAGATAAGAACTCACATGATCTCACATGTGTACAGATAAACTCAAAGTGGTGTTTTGATGATAGACCGACAGACCTGCAAAAAGAAGTGTTTTTTTTAAATAGGTAGCTAGGCTTTGTATCATCGCAGCCAAACACAGGTCATTAGGATCAAGAAAAGCTCCTTTGCTTCTCCCTTCTCTTCTAACATCCGGGTCATATCAGCCAATGTCAACCATGATCAACGGAAAAATCGCCAGCGAACTTTGTATCAATACCATCAGAATGTGCAATTTCAAGAAATATCAGAAAGGTGCAAAGTCTGTATGACCATCAACCGTCGGAAAAATCATCAAAAAATGGTGCAACAATTCTGCAGAAAAATGGTGCACCTTCCGCGTCAGGTGAGCCTCTGTCCCCGTGGATATGGGCGAACTGCTTTCCATCTCTTCGAGATTCTTCAGCCTCTTTGGCCCCAGCCGATTTTCCATGACCTGTGGATTTTGTTTGACCATCAAACATGGGGAACATGCTATATGATATGGATTGATATGGTTATGTAATGTTAATATATAGAGGTTTTAACCAGCAATGACCCAAATGCTGGTTGATGAGTTCGGGGTCATACTACCCAAATCTACACAAATTAGGAATTAGCATAGTGAACTGGGAAATCCTCATGAAAACTACCCTGTTCGTGTTTGCTGATGTTTGTTTCCCTGTCCTGCCAAAGTCAGCTTCTTGACATGTCCTTTCTCTATCGGGCTGCCATGGTTGGCACTCCTCAAATTCACCATGGAACCTTCAAGCATGTCTTGAAGATCATTTTACTATATTTTACTGCTAGATTTTGTAGATTTTTGGGTTCCATGTTAGACTTTTGAGTGTATCACCCATGTTAGCCCATGTTTCTGGAAATTGTAGCACCGTTTCTCAGGATTCGTTTCAGCACACCCGGGCTGGAAATGTCTACGTTCACCGCACGGCTGAGGCTTGGCTTGATTCCAGTGCACGCCCCGAGCTTGGCAAAACTGTCCCAAGAGCAGGCAGAACACAGACATAAACCCGTGCTGCACAGATGTTCCTGTCAGATCAATAGGTCCTTTGGCTGTATGTTTGAACTTCCATGTTTTTGGAGTCCTCGGCAGAGATAGATTCAGCATGATTCAGCATGATTCAGCCCATCGCTCCATTTGTTTCTTGCCAAGGTGTACTTGGACATTCCCTGGGTGCCATATTCAGGAGCGATGCGGGAGATCTGACCTTGGATCCAATAGCAGGTTATTCGCTACTCAAAAGTCCCGAAGAACTTCGAAGAAAATGATAAGAATCGTTTGAAAATGAGGAAACCTTCAGTTGATGGCCGTTTTTCAGTGGAAAAATGACAATTTATGATTTTCATCAGTGGATTTTGCGCGTAGTTACAGTATTGGTATGTATTGGTTATAGATGATTATAGATTATCCCGCATTTTGCTCCCCTTGATCGTTTACTTGATCCCCATTGATATTGATATTTTCTCACAGTTAATGCGAAAAAGGATGGTTTCAACCGTAACAGCCGTACATTTTCCCTCCCAATCCAATGATATGTCATTGCCATCCATTGCCATTAATTATATCATATTATATTCCCTTTATATCCCTTTATGGTCATGTCCTGATGATATCCCCATCATATAGCCCCCAAAAGAGAGAACAGTATTTCCAGGTTTCCAACTGTTATCTTTATTTTATTCTTTTTGGGGGTTTCAATATATCACTATTATTACTATATATTACTATCATTAATGATTCATATAAATGTTATTGTATTACAATATCCTTTCTATCCCCTTGAGAATTGCTATTTTGGACCCATCTCTACTCGAACAGTCGTCGAGTCGTCACGTTGGCAACGGCACGGCAGATCTCTACGAAAGCATTGGCTTCTCAACCGATGTCAAGGGCTTGCCAGGGCTGATGAAGAAGATCAACGGTTGGGGTGACCCAGGGTCGAGAAACCGTGCTGGGTGGTGCTGGGTGATAGATGGAGATGAATGGAGATGAGATAGCTTGACATAACTTGACAGAACCATCAAACATGGGGAGATATTGGGATGTAACATGATATAACCAGTTATAACCTATATGTGATATCACTCTCAACAAAATATTGAACTAATATGACTAATATAACTACTATAGCTGCTACAACTAAGAACTATATAATATAATCACCAATGCTGGTGTATCTGGTGGCTTGACCCCGACCTGTGGCTATTGAATAGTGGGGAAAATTGTGAAATCATCAACCATGGATGGATTTCACAAACAGAAATTGATGGATTTCACTGGAACAGATTGGGATTGTTCAAAGGTTGCATGATTTACCCTTTTTTAAAAGCCAAATATGAACAATGATAGAAATGATGATTAAAACACTGGATTTTGGGGTACCCTATTGTTGCATGGACAAAATTATAGGTTAATATATATACCCTCTGGTAATTTAACATAGCTATTGAAAATCACCATTTTTAATGGGAAAATCCACTATTAATGGTCATTTTCCATGGCTATGTTAAATAACCAGAGGGTATATCCCAACCCTTGGCTGAAAACAGCCAGTGCTAAGAGGTGGATTAAAGTTTCTTGGGTCAGCACCAGTCCTGGTTTGGTATTGGCGACGTCATGCGACGTCGTGTCTTCAGTCGCTTTGATTTTGACAACAGGCCTCAAATATCCTTAAATGTTATATGTATGCCTGGCACCAGTATGTATACATATATACATGTATATATATATATACCCTTGGGGGCGGGGGTTCCCCGAGGGGGGGAAGGGGTGGGGTGGGGTGGGGTGGGGTGGGGTGTAATAACGTTCATGTAACTTGCGTGAAGGGGTGGGGTGGGGTGGGGTGGAATGTAAAAACGTTCATGTAACTTGCGTAGAATTGGAGGCGATGTGCATGCTACGTGGATGTTACGGTCATTCTAAAGTCATGTTATGTACTTCTCAGGCATATGCCATGTTACGCTAGTGTAAGTTCTCTTGTAATTGTGACGTCTACGTCATGCTACGCTAGTGTAAGTTATCTTGTACTTGTCACGCATACGTCATGCTACGCTAGTGTAAGTTCTCTTGTACTTGTCATGCATGAGTCATGCGGGGGGAAGGGGTGGGCTGCGGTGGGGTGGGGTGTAATAACGTTCATGTAACTTGCGTGAAGAGGTGGGGTGTAAAAACGTTCATGTAACTTGCGTGAAGGGGTGGGGTGTAAACATCGCAACGTTCTAGCAGTGCACTATGTAAGCAAAAAGCCTGGTTTGGAAAGTGTCTTGAATGCACTCGCACGCTTCAAGGAGTTGGCAATGAAAACTTGCCGGCAGCCTGGTTTGTGCCTTCTATAGTGGTTGATATGTCTTGTACTAATGCTTTTGTATAAAGACAGAAAAAAACAGCTGACTCACAGCTCTCGGAAATTTTGATGATATGCAAAATCACTGTGAATTTCCAATGAAAAACAACATCACATCAAAATACCTGTGGAAACACAGTATATTATACCCTTTTCCAATGATCTTTGAAATAGCACAAAATGTGCACCTCGTAATTCCAATAGAGAAAATAAGAACACCAAAAAAAGCATATTGTGATGGTCCATAATTGACTTCAACTTCGACGGACGAAAAAAAATTGATCCGTAATTGAAAGACATCAACAATGAAAAGAACGACATGAAAAATCTCCATTTTACCACAGTGAAACACTGTTTTTCTCCAATTCAATGATCCTGATTGACGTCCTCTCGGGGAACCTCCTCCCCCTGCCGTATATATATATATAATATGTCAATACCTATTCGTCTTTTGCACTTCGGAACACTTTGATGAGGATGGCACTTCTCAACAGAGTTTTATGTGGATTTATTGTGACCATCTTTTGTAGTTGTTCTTTTGGATATACATATATATATAATCATATATACAATATTATATATATAATTGTATATATTATATTATATATATATAATTAATATGTCCACTATTGACCAATATGAAATCGCCGGATCTTCTGCTGAGGTATGGATTTAAAAGATCTGGAACGCATGGAGGAGAAGATCCGCTCGCTGAGGCGCTGCGTGTGATGTGCGCAAAATGCATGAGAGACAGCTTGGAACAAACCTGTGAGGAGATACTTGTGGTATTATACCGTACTAATATACACTATATGTCGTAGATATATTATAATAATTTATAACAGTCCCACGTGCTTTTTTGACGGAGTCATCGATTTGACCGCGCAGGTCAAGCCATTTCACCGACGAAGGTCTTCTGAATCAGATTTCGCTGGCTTCTTAGTGCTCGGTGACCATGACCCGCCGGACGGGGATGAAAGTTACATCAGCGACTGGAAAGGTAGAAACTAATCCTTTAGCTTTTGGCTATACCAGTGGAACCAAGAACCTATGAAATCGTGTCTGAAAAAAAACACATTTATAAATGGAAAATAACCATAAACAGCAAAAGATTACAATGTCTTGTGGACTACCCAAGATTGACCATGGTTGGAAGATGGAACCTGACACTTTCCTGGGGCGATTCTCTTTTGGTCTATGTTAGTTCGGGGGACGATACTATCCAGTCGGGCACAGTGATGTGCAGATATGTGCACTTTGCATTTGTTCAATTTGTTTGTCCCTGCCTGAGGCTTTTCATGAAGAATGGCGGAAGTGACTTGCGATGTCAGAAAGTGCCATCCACAATGAATGGTTAGCTTAGATAGATTCTGAGCGCAGAAAAAAAACACAGCATGAGATTTCGCTTTTGATCCCCTCGACACGAGACAACTACCGTTGGGGCTCTGTCTTTGAAGACTCTAAATCCTTCACAAACTTGTATTTGTGAGAAGCTGTTGGATGCAACAGTGTAGAACCCCTAGCATGAGGAGGAAGTCAAAGACTTGTCAGTTGATGAGATGTTTTCTTTTAATTATACTACTTGTATGGAGTATTTGAGTATTCTTACCTAGTATTTTGTACCCTGACTCGAAAAGTAAGGGTGCTCTTCATATTTGGGCCACCATCGGTTGTCTCTCAGAGTGCCTGTGGACATGAAGTGCTTCTAAGACTCCGATGCTTTTACTGCATCTTCACGTCCTGATATGTCGTGTGGATATGTCCTCATCCAAGCCATGAGACCGTGATTTAGTATTGAAACCCATGGTAACTTGGCTGATAATAGACATCCCATACTATATATATAGTGACTGAGTGACTTAGTATAATCATTCCACATATATATATAGTAAGTCATATAGTAAGTCATATATAATAATGATATATATAGTCATCCCATAATATACATCCCATAATATATATATATAGTGACTGAGTGACTTTGTATAATCATTCCACACACATATATATATAGTAAGTCATATATAATAATGATATATAGTCATCCCATAATATACATCACATAATATACATCCCATAATATAATATATAGTGACCGAGTAACTTAGTATACTCATTCCACACATATATATATATATATAATAATGATACACATACATATATATAGTGACTGAGTGACTTAGTATAATCATTCCACACAAATATACACACATATATATAGTAAGTCATATATATATATAGTAATGATATATATATATATATGTATTGATCTTGGCTGACTTGGCTCAAGGCCGAAAGACTCTTGCGGCCGAACACTGAAAACTTCACGTGGCGTGGAGCCAGCGCCGCCGGGCGGGTGACCCAGGAAACCCACTGCGTCATCGACCCGGGGACGAGCTGCGTCACCTGAAGCTCCAGAGCACAGGAAAACCAAGCTCTGGCAGTGACTCGTTGTGCCAGGCAGTGACCCATGGTTGAAGCCATGGATTTCATATATGATTTCATAAAATTATCATCAAATTCTTGACATTTCGTGATATTTCTGGTTTTTGCCATCAATTTCGTCTCCAGTTGGTGTTTTTCTTTGTTGCTGGGGAAGCTGGCGCTTGGCATTTAAGTCACAACTCACCTTAGCCCGACAATCATGGAATCGCTGTCAGTACTCTTTGTGTCTCGGCGAAAAAGTTGGGACCGATGGTCGGAATGAGCCAAGGAATTGGATTGTTGGAACTGGTTGATAACTGGTTGATAACTGGTTGATAACTGGTTGATAACTGGTTGATAACTGGTTGATAACTGGTTGATAACTGATACAAAAACTGGTTGGTGGTTTCAAACATGAATTTTATTTTCCATAATATATGAGATAATCCTTCCCATTAGCTAATCTTTTTCAAGATGGTTAAAACCACCAACCAGAAATATTGGCGTATATTTGAATATTAACTTAACTAATGAACACATAGGCCCAAAGTTATGGTAATGATGATCAATATGATGATCAGTATGATGAATGGATTTAAATGGATTTCAGGAACCATGATATACCCCATGAAAAAAAAACAAGGCCACGCGAAGGGCCAGGGAGAAGAGCTGAAGATACTGGGTACCCCAGCGTCATTTGATCTTGTGCTCTCCATTTGGGTATTCCATGATTTTCCCATGGGTTTAGGACAAACCCAAGTCAAAATAAATCAAAGTTGATGTACCTCTGGCGAAAAACGCGTAACTTCCGCGCCGAGGACATGTTATTGGTCGCAGCCTCAGGCAACATGAGTGCCATTGAGTGCCGATATTTAATAGATGACATGAGCTGACCTTCAGTCTAAAGGAGCACTGTATAAAGGCACATCCTCTGTTCACAGACGTTGCTGAGCTCTCGAGTAGCCAATACAGCTGAGATTTTCGCGGATTTCTGATTGCAATCTTCAGCCTGAGGAAGTCTCATTTCCTCCAGTTGCAACTTCTAGAAAGACCCCAAGATGGCAAAAAACTCATATAAAATCCTATGTTTTCGACCTTCCGAGGTTAGCTTAGGCCGCGTTTTCCTGGCAGTTGCCATTGCTGCCAGTCTCTACATGAGCCTGCGATGTTTAGGTCTGGTTCCCGCGGCAAGGATGCCGTGCAGCACATGGAACTTCGTCATGTATGAAATATACATATATACATATATATATAGAAGTTTCCTGAAATGGCGGTACCCCCAAAAGCATTGCTTTCAATACTAAATTTAAAATGGTCTGTTTGTTTTTTTCAGGAGATAATGAATATGTATGAATATGTTGCACATAGAAGAAATCGCTGGGAATTTCCAGCTATCTCTTCTATATGCAACATTAATTCAGGCTTGAAACACACATTTTGTACTTGGGATTCACAAGCAAAGCCCCAGCGTCTCCCGGTGACGCAGGCCTCGAGCCGACAGCGCATGGTCATGAGCCGAACATCCTTATTGAAGACTTCAGGCGCTGAACATGATCAGTGACCAAGGTTGAACGATTTGGATTTTTTGTCACAATTTTCCAACCAGAAAAAAACAATGACTGGTTGGTGGTTTGGAACATGAATTTTATTTTTCCATATATTGGTAAGAATCATCTCAACTGACGAGCATGTTGTTCAGAGGGATAGGTCAACCACCAACCAGATGAGTATTTAGAATGATAGTAGCCATCCAATCGTTGGGGTACTGAATTTTGACCCAGACTTTTTTGTTAAAAAAGTGATGTTACTTAGAGACTGATTCATGTGGGCAACCGAAAAGCACAAACGTACCGTTTCGGGATGGTTCATGCAACTTGCTGATGATACTGGGGATGGTTTATCATGGGTTTACCAAATTAAAACTTATCAACAGTATTCAAACGTATTCAAGAGTTACCATCACAACTTACTCTTGAGAGATATCAAAGCATAGCCGAATATGGAGTGTATGGAATCATCGCCCAAAGTCCAGCAGGTGACTTTGTCATATCTTTAGCAATGTGTAGTTTCAGCGTGGAAAGACTGTTTTCAGATGTTTTCAGCGTAGTTTTTGAGAAAGCTCTGAAAATCCTGAGCCGCTGAGCAGGTTCTTATCATCTTTTGGCCAAGGCCTCATGGGTATGGGTCAAAATTAGGTACCCCAATAATTGGATGGTTAATACTAAACTAGACATTCACATCTGTGGTCCCATTAATGGTCTTCCATTTTGACCCACATCCTCATCATTTCCAGCATGTCCTGGCCATTTTTAGCTTGGTGACTTGGGCCACGGACACTCCGAGGTTTGGGAGTCTTCATAAGTTGCTTAGCAGACAGTGGAAAGGTGCGTAACCTGAAAAAAGACGCTTCGGGAAATTGCGCCAGGTGGTCAGTTCTAGAAAAACTGGGCCAGGTTTTGAACCAGTTGAGGCAAACATTTGATTCTGTTGATCCAAAGTGATTTTTTTTTGGAGACCATGATCCATTGGTCGTTGGTCCAACGGATCATTGGCTTTTTTTTACGGTTTCAGCCAGGCGCCGCAGAGCATATCGCAGATTGGCTTTATGCTGTGACGACTGGACAGAGCCAAAACAGGTGGGGCAGGGGATCATGGTCCATGGTCCAAGGTTGATTCTGAGAAGGGTCAACTATTGGTCAGCTACCATCTGTTTATTTAACATAGCCATGGAAAATCCCTTATACATGGAGGTTTTTATGGGAAAATCATCTTTAAATGGGCCATTTTCCATGGCTAATGTTAAATTACCAGAGGGTATCATTTTGAGCCAAGTTGGAGATGTGTAATTTGCGATGTGCGGAGCAAACACGAATTGCAAATCAATATTTCACACATTTCTATACAATCTCTTTCTCGCAGTCTGCTTAATTCATCTGATTTGTAGATTTGATCACTCAAATGCAAAGTTTCCTAGAAAAGAAACTTCGAACCAGTCAAGTATCCAAGAATTCTATTAGACAAGTAACCAACAACTCTCTTCATTCGGGGCGTTGTCTAGTGCAACATCCCTGCAGGCACTGCTTAGCGGCACAGTGTGCGATGCAACTGACAACAGTATCTTGCACGCTGCACTTTGCTTGCAACGACGGGTCAAAACGATCAAAGATGTGGGTATGAAACCAACCTTATGGGGATATATTGGGATAGACTTGGATATATGACCCAATGAGACAATATGATATGACACATCATGAACTTAATCCTGGCTAAGTGGGGACATATGGGGACATAGCTAGTCGGCAACGGTGCAAATTACCCCCCAAAGTGGACACTGTGGGTTGGTCCCTCAACAACTTGCCCAGTGGAGAACAACGTTTCACGGTGCTCCAGCTTGTTGGGTAACTTGGTTTATATTTCACCGGGCCAACTATGTAGGCTTTATTGCAGATATAGTACCTATATTAAAAATATGTTATATATTATATAATATATTAATATTATATATATGTATATTGTTCACGGAGGTTGTTGACCAATTTATAACTGGGGGGCACCACCTTGCAGTCTTTGTCATCCCGCATTGAAAGGGCAAAATATGCAATGAGTTCGGATTTCTTGTTGAATCGGAAGATTCCTGGCGGGTGGTATGGTCTGCTTACACGGGAAGATCAACACATGTCGTGCAACATTGGAGTTGTTTGATTTTGGCATGATTTTGGCATGATGTTATTGTTTCAGACTATGTAAGAGCTTCTGGAAAACTGGCGATACGGTATCATGGCATATCATGGCATCATGGTAGGCGCGCCTCGTGCCTAAGGATATAGCTGACAATTGGGGATGCAGCGGGTCTTATAGACTGATCCGCCTGTGGTGAAAGACCCGACTGCATCACCCGAAAGGGGGCGTCGGCGGCGTCGGAAGCGGAAGGTTGGTTGGTAGATGGCCTGCCTTTCCGCGAACA